TGGCGTCCACCGCCGGTGTGTGTCCAGCCCCTGGGCCTCCGGCTCCTTGCTCTGCTGCACCGGCACACCTCCCACGGCGGCTGGCGTCGGTCATGTGCTCGCACCTGGTGTGCCTGGCAGCTTAAGGCTTGTTCCGAACCAGACAGACTTCTGGACACAGAACGAAATTCCACAGACACCGTCGAGACACCCTAGAGGGTGGGCTGTCATGGCTTCACTGTTGTTACGGAAGGAGTGAGCTGCATTTTGGCAGGCTTTGTAACGAGAGCAGCAGAAGGCTTACACCCGGATGTAGCAGCTCAGTGTGTTTTAAGCTACCGGGCCCGGGACTCGAACTGTGGTGGAGTCCAGCAAGGTAACCATTATACCATCTGCTGGCCCCTCCTCTTCTTCATTTAAAGAAATAGTGGCACTGGTCCATGCGTTTAGTGGAACAGTGCACAGTGGCCGGTGTGGCTAGCGCTTGCGGTCTGTGGGCCTGTGTGACGGACTGGCCTAGGTGCTCAGACCCAGCCTCGGGGTCCCAGGGTCCTGCTAACGGAGACCCTTACTCGTTCATTCAGTATGAGTTTCAGCTGGCATCGGCGAATGGTTCATTCTGTTTGGCTCTACTGCAAGTTCTTAAAAATGCCTTTTAGAATTGCCACGGGATGGGTGCATCTGCCAGGGACAGACAGACAGTCAGAGGGACAAAGAGAGCTCCCCCAGTAGGGTGTGGTCACACTGCAATCTCTTCTCCTCCATTTCTCCATCCTGTCGGGATCCTGGGTGCACACACACACACACACACACACACACACACACATATGCCCAGTGTCTTTTTCCGGTCACCAGGCCAGGATTCAAACCGTGGTCAGCCATGCGGGGACCAGCTTCCTTAGCCATTGGCCACAGGGCCAGCCCACGTTTATCTTTATTATTAAATGTATGTGCTCTGGATTTTCTTTCAAACATCACTGAACTCTGGTTTTCCTTGGAAGTGCACAGAGTTTTCTCGAAGCATGACAATAAAGCAAACACCACCACCACCCGAGTAGGGGCAGATGTGGTCAGATGCATAAAATACATTCGGACATTCGTGAATGAGAACATGGCTTATCAAGATTAAAATTCAGGAAGTTTCATCCTCACATTCTTACATTAACTATACTCTCTTTTGTTAGGTTTTTTGTTGTTGTTTTTTTTGTGTGATAGGGCGCATGCACTTGTTGAAGAGAGAGTATGAAATCACTCCTCTGTCCCCAGGGCGATGGCCATGCCATGATCGCTTCTCCATTCTCTTCCTGGGACTTTGGGCATGCACACACATGTGCCTGGCATAATTTTTAAGCCACTGGGTCCAGGACTCAAGCCGTGGTCTTCCATGGGGGAGTCCAGTGCCCTAACCACGATGCCACTGGCTGGCCCCACTTTGCCTGTCTTAAATACGCACACAGGGAAGTTTAGTGTGAAGAGTGGCTCTGCCTTCTGGTCTTCCGTACTGCTCTTCAAGGCCCACCTTGTTTTAATGCTATTATTATTATTATTATTGTTATTATTATTATTATTATTGTTGTAAGTTCCTTCTTTCCAGAAAGAGAGAGAAAAAAGTGTCCTCAGTAAGGTCTCGCTGCACCACGGCCCTCTCCCCAGCCTCCCAGTGAGTCAGGCTCTCGGGTGTTTGTGGGTGTGCCTTCATGTGCAGGCCACCTCGGGATCTGAACCCAGGCCTCCCGGGTGGCTCCGGTGTTGGGCAGCGACGCCCTGCCAGAGCTGGGCCTTACTCTCTCACGTCTGGTGTCATTTTAACTCCGTCTCACACTCTGGCTTCCTCGGATTCTCCTTTGTTGCCCCGTGAGCTTAGAGTTTCTATGGCAGGTCAGCCAGGGCTCTGAGCACTGTTGGACAGCATTGGTCCTGTGCTGTCACCCGTCGGGCGCAGCCAAGCCAGAATGTGACAGGGACATGGGGTTGCAGACTGTCAGCATTTTGACCCTTTGGGTGAGAAATACCGGGCATGTCAGTTTGTGAGTCTGGCCTGGAGGGCGCGTTGGGGATGTGAGGCTGCATTTGCTCGGCTGCTCCGTGGCCCCCATTGCCACCCTGCCTATGTGGCGTGGACATCCGTCTGTGGCCCTCACTGAGCAGCGCTCACGGCAGGTGACGGAGACTGGGCACGTCCCAGACCCGTATTCGGCGTTTCCTGTCCCTGCATCCTGAGGGTGCTCAGTGCCTTCGCGCTGTCCTTCCTGCCGCCCTGGGGTCCCCATGGGAGCTGGCGATGACACAGGAAGCTGGGCTGGGCCCGAGCAGGTTCCTGTCCAGAGGCCTGTTTTTCTATGGTTGAGCTGTTCTTGGCTGGAATCCACCTTTCCCTTGAGGAATGACGGGCGAGGCTTTATCCTTCCACCAATACCCTCCTCTGTGAAGGGGTAGCCCGCGTGGATGCGCACAGCCTCGGCCCCTGACGCAGGGCGGCTTTCTCTGGCCTTCGGGTTCCTGAATATTTCCGGCCTCCCGTTTGAGGAAGGGCCTCTGAGGGGGACGTGGTTTGGAGCAGGTGGAGCCTCTGTGGACCTTCTCCCGGGGTCTGTACCTCCCCACCCCCAGCCCACGTGGCAACGATTCCGCTCGCCCAGGCTGGGCTCCTACAACTTCGCTGTTTGCCGGCCCCACTCCCACCTCACCCAAAAGCCAATTTTTCACATACAAGCCTTGTCTTTGGAACAGGGTGCATGCGATTTCATAAAGTAACGTACTTCACACACTCCTTTGTCAAAATGTTTATTGATCCCGCTGGCCGGAAACGCATGCCGGGTGCGTGTGCGTGCGTGCCCAAAGTCCCGAGAGGGGAATGGCGGAGAAAGGACCGTGGCATGGCCGTCCCCCACGTGGGGTGATTTCTCACTTCCTGTCTCTGTCTCTTCGGGGAGCGCACATGCCCTATAGCGAAAATCTCTCTCTCTCAAAAAAAAAAAAAAATCTGTTTCGATAATGATTTCTCCCATGAGGAGAGAGAGGCAGCACCCCGGTGGGGTCTTGACTGCATGACTCACCCAGCATCAGCCTGAGCCAGCCCCAGGTGGTGGGCATGCCCATGCCCGCTGTGCTCAGGGAGTCTCTGGATGGGCACCCAGACCCGCCCATGAGGGACAGCCTCACACCGTGTCATGTTTTGACGGCACCGCCACTGGCTGCACACGCCTCCCTGATGTGAGCGTTATCCCCAGCCAGCGGGAGCCTGCCTAGGGCTTCAGGGCGGTCTCCCGTGGGGCTGAGCTGCTGAGAGGCCTTCGCCTTCCTCACCAGCCCGCTTCTCGCCACCCCTCAGCATGCACACGTCACTCGGCTGCTGGGGAAGTGCACTGTGACCCTGGGATGTGGTGAGGCGTCCTTGCAGGGGGACTCGCTGGAGGGAGGCAGCCCGTTGCAGCCCCGCCGGTCTGTTGAGGCAGTACCAGAATCGTAGGGACCTTGGGAACCGACTGGTCCAGAACGACCTCGAGGAAGTGTGGGGCCTGGGGTGGTTTGTGCAGGACCCTCACTGCCAGCCCTGCAGGCCCTCGGCGCCTCCTGGGGAGCTGAGAGCAGCGTCACCGCTGGGCTCCTTCCAGACCTCCTCAGTCGCTCGGGCAGGGCCGGAGAGCTGGCCGGGCGCCAGGCTGACTTGGACGAGTGCCCTGGTTTAGAATCCCTGGCTAGGCCCCAGTCAGACAAGAGGGCCTCGGGGCTGTGGGGCGACACTGACCCTGCTAGGGCTCCATAGGGGTAAGCCCATTCGGGGGTCAGTTGCCAGCTCGGTGGTGGCTTCAGGGGCCCTGCTGTAAACTCATGGCCACCCTGGGCTTCTCTGTCTCCTGGTTCTTCTGGCCAGGTCTGTCTCCAAGGCCCCTACAGAAGGACTCAGCTTTCTGGGAGGGAAGGACAGCTGCAGAGGGGTCTCCCATGTTAAAATCAACCGTATCCTTGTATCTTTTTTCAAAAATTATTTATTGGGACCAGCAATTAGCATAATGGCTCTGTCACTGGACTCCCACGTAGTCGACCGTGGTTCGCGTCCCAGACCCGGTGGCTTAAAACTCACCCCGGGCGCGTGTGCGTGCGTGCCCAAGATCCTGAGAGGAGAATGGAGGAGAAGGGATTGTGGCATGGCCATCCCCCCTGGGGAGTGATTTCTCACTTTCTGTCTCTGTCTCTCTCTGTCTGGCTGGCGAGCGTATGCACCCTATAGCAAAAACTTCTCCCCCCCAAAAATTATTTATTTCATTTTCTTCATTATTGTTATTTTTTAATTTGCTGTAGGGCCACATGCACTCATGACAGAGAGAGAGACAGAGAGAGAGACAGAGAGAGAGAGAAGGAAAGAGAGAAAGCAAGCTGCCAGGTCTGGACTGAAATCGTGTCAGCCGTGTGGGAGTCCAGTGCCTTAACCACCATGCCACATGCTGGCCCTATTTTCTTTTTTCCTTTGGCTAGAGGGCACATGCACTCACCAGGGAGAGACAGAGACAGAGAGAATATGAGAAAGCACCGCCCGGGGGAATGGCCATGCCGCAATCCCTTCTCCTCCATTCTCCTCTCTGGATTTGGGGACACGCGCACACACTCTGGGTCCTGTACTCTAATCACGCGGTCAGCCATGTGGGATCCGCCTTACCCACCACACCACTGGCCGGCCTGTTGTGTTACTTTTTTCGGTGACACTGATGGTGAGCAGGTAAGCGGCCTTCTGCAGCTTAAAGCTCTCGAGTCTCTGCTGTCACTGCTGGTCCTTCTCAGCAGCTCCCCTGCCATCCCCAGGTTTGGTGGGGTGGTTTTCACCGCAGCTCTGAGTGCACGGGCCGGTCCGTCTCCGAGAGCGGGACTCACACCCCGGGAGTGCACCTTCCGGGCACAGCCGGGCCACCTGTGCTGAGCACGGGCTGTTGTGTCCGCAGTTCGCCGTGGACAAACTGGCGGAGCTGGAGCGCTGGGAGGAGCAGCTGCAGGACGAGGCCCACACCCTGATAGATTTTTTCTGTGAAGACAAAGAAACCATGAAGTTGGACGAGTGCCTGCAGATATTCCGAGACTTCTGCACCAGGTTCAACAAAGCGGTGAAGGTAGGCCGGGGCGCCTGTCTTTAGTTGAGTGGGTTTTTGCTTCTCCCCTTCCTGACCTGGTCCTCTGCCATGGCAGGAAGACGGTTTGGCGTCCCCCCGCTTTCCAGAACGTCTGGTCCAAGTGGCATTGCCCTCTCTCGCCCGGGGTCACTGCCGTCCCAGCCCCAGGGCACCCCACCACCGGGAGCCTGGCACGTGGCTGCCACTGTCACTTTGCGGCTTACACCAGCGCTTGCACCAGGTCCTCCGGGCGTGTTTCTATAAAGTGACTTTCTCATGACAGTGACAGGATTTACAAGTCTCTTCAAAGTCCTGCTTGTCTCACCCTCTCCCTGGAAGAGAGCGCCCTGTTCCGGGGAGACTAGCTGCAGAAGCAAGGTCGGAAGTCACTCCCTTTCACCTGCGACAGCATCAGGGGACCGGGCTGTCCCAGCTGGGGCGGCCTGGGAAACTCTGCGTGCCTGGGAGCCTGCCGCCAGGCAGAGCCCTCCAGCTGCCCACGCCGGTAGTCTCTGGGTCGGCTCAGTAGCCGCAAAGCTCGGGGTTGCTTGGCCTCGCCAGTAAATTCTTATCTGTTGATTGAAAGCCAACCAACTCACGTCCCTTCATTTCGGGTGGTGACGAGAAAGCAAGTGCTTCTGAGCCCTCTCTTAACACACACACACACACACACACATACACATACACACATACACACACACACACACACATACACACACATACACATACACACACATACACATACACACATATACACACACACACATACACACATACACACACATACACACATACACACACACATACACATATACATATATCGATATCGATGTATATAAAATTTTTAATAGAAGTTTTTACCTTAACGCAGGTATTTTTGCCAGAGAGAGAGAGAGACAGAGACAGTGAGAAGGGAAAGTGAGAAATCACCCCCCCTGGGGGGAGGTGACCACACTGCAGTCCCTTCTCCAGAATCTTGGGCACGCATGCACACACACACACCTGGCATGAATTTCAAGCCACCGGGTCTAGGACTTGAACCGTACCTGGCCATGTGGGAGTCCAGCAACGTAACCACCACACCATCTGCTGGCCCCTTCTTCCCCATATTGTAAACTCAGATTTGTCTAAAGCTGAGTTTCTTTTTTAAAAAAGTTTGTTATAGGGCGGTGCAGTTACCAGAGACAAGAGTGGGGACAGAGAGAAAGCAAGCCCCAGCAAGGATGACGGCACCGCAATCCCGTCTCCATTCTCTTCTCAGAATTTTGGGCACACATGCACACGCACCCGGGCACCAGGCATGTTCTTCAAGCCACCGTGTCTGAGACTAGAACCATGCATTTGTCCTTGTGCGGTCAGCTGCCTTAGGCCCCATGCCACCAGCCAGCCCTGTAGCTGAATTTCTCGGAGGGACCGCTTCAACGTCTTTCGAGCGAGTCACACTGGGTTCCCATACGCCTCCTCTGTGACCCAGCTAGGAGGAGGCCCAGCCTATGGCCACGTTTCTGCTCCTCCGTCCAAGCAGTGACTCAGCTATGGGAGGCGGAGGTGCGGTAGAGGCCAAACTGGCTGTCAGAGGCCCCTGCTCCGTCAGAGCCCGGCAGGCCCTGAGGCCACCTGTGTGATGCTGTCAGCCCAGCTGCCCCGAGCCCAGGGACCGGCCCCACCCCACACAGGCTGCTGGAAGGAGGAGGCCTGAGAGATTTGGGGACCATGGGGGAGCTGAGAGCCGGGCTGCCGAGGAGCCAGCAGCCCCTGCCAGAGCCTCACAGCACTTGGACAGGGAAGTCCAGTGTTGGCGGAAAGTGGTTTCCAAGTGAGAACGCACGATAACAGATCCAGGCTGTGAGAGCCACGCATGTACACGACAGACTTACGTGACGCGAATGCAGTTCGAGTGCACAGCGGGCGGGGGAGTGTGCTTTGGCGTGTCCTGGTTCGGTCGTGCGGGGAGCCCTGGTGTCTGCAGCAGCGAGGCCGACTTCCTCCTCTCTGCTCTGGGGATGGGCTGGTGTGAGGGGCGGAGCCAGGGGGCGAAGCCACCAGAACCCTGCATGGCCCCTGTGGTGTTTCCTGATGGGGCAGGCAGGGAACAGCTAAAAGGCATTGCCTTTTTTTTTTTTTTTAAAGAAATTTAATTTTATTCATTCCTTCATTTATTTTAATTTGACCAGAGAGAGGGAGAAAGAGAAAATGAGAAAGCAAGACACCAAGTCCGGGGCTTGAACCGTGGTTGACCATGTGGGAATGCCCAGTGCCTTAATCACCAAGCCACCTGCTGGCCCCTTAAAGGCATTTCTTATTATCTTGGGTGTGCATGTGTGTGTACAAACTACTGTGACCCAGACTGGCTACATATCACACTCACACGTGCACACAGACAGGCCCATGTATTAGACTTCTGATTTTAGATTCTTCCGATGCCTATAGTATTCTTCCTTTTTTTAAAAAAAGAAATTATTTATTTGTTTATTTTTAATTTGATAAGAGAGGGAAAGTGAGAAAGCAAGCCACCAGGTCCGGGACTTGAACCATGGTTGGCCACGTAGGAGTCCAGCGCCCTACCCACCACGCCACCTGCCAGCCCCAATACCTATAGTATTCTTCTCCACTATTGCCTAACTAGCACCTTCCTGGAAGTGTGTCTCATCCTGCTTAGAAACCTGGTGGCTTTTCCCTGCAGCCGAGTCGCATGCAAACAAGAAATTACAGGCGCAATGAGTGGGGGACGCCTTGGGCCCAGGGACCAGATGAGAACCCTTACCTGGGGGCAGGCTTAGTGTGTCCTTCTGGTCACATCCCCTGGAGCTTTGGGAGAGCACCCCTCACACACGCAGGTGCATAAGGCTGTCCTCCACGCAAGCGTGTCTCCGCGGTCTTAGGGCGGCCCTGTAGACTTGCCTGGGCGTCTCACCTGCGGCCTCTCTCCGCCCTGCCAGGACAACCGGGACCGGGAGCTGCAGGAGCTGAGGCAGCTGCAGCGGCTGAAGGAGCTGGAACAGAAGCGGCGCTCCTGGGCGGCGGGGGAGCTGGGGGGCTTCGGCCGCAGTAGCAGCGAGAATGACGTGGAGCAGCTGACCAAGAAGGGCGCTGAGGACCTGTCCCCTTTCCTGCGCCCCAGGCCCACCAGCCCTTCCTACCTGCCCCCCAACACCCGCCGCTCCCGCCTCTCCCTGGGCACCTCGGCCGACCGGGAGCTGCTGACCTTCCTGGAGAGCGCCACGGGCAGCCCCGAGGAGCCCCACAAGTTCAACAGCTTGCCGCGGAGCAGCCCCCGGCAGGCGCGGCCCACGGTGGCCTGGATGGAGCCTGCAGGACCCAGGGACCACGACTCCGGCTTTGCATGCAGGCCTCAGGCCTCGGACCGCCAGGACTCACCTCCGGCCTGGCCCTGCCAGCTTCCCACCCCGCGGCCAGAGGAGCCCGGCTCGACCTCCCCTCGAGCTGGGCGCGGTGGGGTCAGCGTCCTGCGGAAGAGGAACAGTGAACCTGTGGGCCTGGGTCCCGCCCGGTCCCCTCCACTGTCGCCGCTGGTCCTGGGCATTAAGGAGCATGAGCTGGTGACAGGGCTGGCCCAGTTCGACTTGAAGGGTTCCAGGGGCCGGGAAGAGCCATCCCCGCTGACCCTGAGTGACTTCAGCCCAATGGAGCTGGAGTCTTCAGGGGACGGGAGCCCACAGCCCCTCAGTGCCGGGCACTGCAGCCTGTCCTCGGGCAGGGGTGGCCAGGGACGTCTCAGCCCAGCCCTGGAGCCTGACAGGGCGGCCCCTGACGCGCCCAGCAGCGCCGCCCTGGTGTCCGCGGGGAGCAGCGACCCCGAGAACAAGGAGCCCGGGCCCATGTTCTGCATCTCGGACGCCACCGACTGCTCGCTGACCCTGGACTGCTCGGAGGGGACCGACTCCAGACCCGGCGCGGGGGCGCCCGAGGCGGGCGGGGAAGGGGACGGCTCGGTGTCCTCCGGGGCAGGGGAGGCGGGGGGCAGCCAGCTGTCCTCCAACCCCGCGTCCAGCCCCCCAGGGGAGGCGCCGGCCCCGCTCCCCGAGAAGAGCGAGCCCAGCTGCAAGGGGGGGCCCCCTGGGGACAGGCCGGCCAGAGGGAAGGACGCGGTGGCAGCGAGGAGGAGCTCGTTCAGGGAGGCGGCGGGGCCGCGGCCGGGGGCCCGGCGGGGGGCGGGCGC